AAAGGCCAGGGAGATCAGTGGAAATTCACAGTAGGTTCGATAAAGAAACAAGCAAGTAGTGTTCCAATGTAGGATCAAAAAATGAGGTACGGAAGAAGACCTGAGACGTAGAACATAGAATGAGAGTCTTCTAACCCCAACAAGATGGATTTTGCAGAAAGGGGGATTGAGGTTGCGTAAGTGAAAAATAAAGATGGGGACGGAATTGTTCCCTGAAGAACACCAGAATTCCCGTGGAGTAATGAACCGTTTCCCTACAAAATCTGGTAGATTGGGTGCGTTTGGTAAAATAATCAGTCCGCAGAGGAAATACAGACGGATGAAGTCCAAAGAAAAACAGGTCGCGCAACATCAGATAACGGCTAACGTGGCCAAAGACGTCGCTATAGTCCAGGAAGAAGATGCGGGTGGATTTGTCTTTATTATCCGGTGATGATAGCACAGAATGTACTAGGCGAACTATCGCATCTATAGTGGGCGTTGAACTACGATACGCGAACTGATGGGGTCACCCAAATGCGTTTGTGTTAACATCCTTCCAAGAATAAGACAAAAACCTTCGAAGCAAGCGATGTAGTGAACATAATCGGCGAATCTAAGCAAGTATGGTTACTTGTTTCCGTAGAACGCATTATTGTTGAACCCCTTGGTCGACAACACAGCGCGTATAATGGATAGCGAACCTGTCGGCTTCAGTGTGTAGTGGCTTGCTAGTCCTGACTAGCTTCTAATGGCCCATGTGAAGGTGGCTGAAAGCTGGGGCGAAGGGAATCACCTGCATCAGTGCGGTCGATCGAGTGGGAAGCCTTTTGAAAAACACAGTTGGGTGTACATACAAACTAGTGAATAGGACGCTTGTGTGCATAGCCGGTGTGAGTGCTTTCTCATGACGCGGTTGGCAGAACCAGGCACGCAAGATGGTGACAGAGAAAAAATAAGAACCCAATGAGCAATCAGCAGCATTACTTTGGCTGGTGGCCGTTTTTAGCGATGCCGACTTCATTACAGATGATGAAGGGTTCACTGTCCGAAAACTGGCGCCTGTGGACAGCGAAGTGGATGAACTTTGCGACACCGATCGAGTTGGATGAATATCCTGTGCCATATCAGTTAGCCATGTTCAGGTACGCCATCGGCCACGATGCGATGTGGATACTAGACGCCTGAAATTTCTGCGATCATGACTAAGAACCGGATCTTCTAGAACCACTCGAGAGATCTGGTGATCATTGTGAAGGCCGATCAAAACATTTCGCCCGTTGCTGTCGGTCGACCAACGTTAGGTCACTTGATAGTGTAAATCAGCAAAAAGTGCAAATAGGTTTCAGTAAGTAACAGGTGGGATCATGACGGGGAGGGATGCGGTAATGCAAAACTGGCTGTTACTGGAGCCACGGTACATTTGCAATCTGAAGAATTTCCAATAATCGCCTGCAAGACCGTCTCCGAAACCGTCCACAACGACGAAAAACGCGTCACAAATACGAAACCAGACAGTTTCACACTCTAGCGCCTGGTAATGAAATATGGTTTAAACAGATACCTAGAGTTGAAAGGTGCCGGAAAAGAAAGGGAAACTATCGAGTGTGACTGAAAATGCGATGTGGTGAACAGGCACTGCACTCGGACGAGAAGCCGCCTCAGCAGAATAAGCCAACTAAGATCGCATCCCAGGTTCGAAAGCTCTGCTGCAGTGGAAGGCGATACGGAACCTGCAGCAGCAAAACAATGAAAAAAGGAAAGGATGTGATGGTGGCTGAAAGCTGGGGTGAAGGGAATGGCCTGCCTCAGTGCGCTCGATGGGGTTGGCGGGTGAGTTTTTAAAATCATAGTTAATTGTACATTACCTCAGACTTGTGACTAGAACATAGCCGGTGTGAGTTTTTTCTCTTGACGCGGCTGGCAGACCCATTCATCTTTAGTTAAGTAAAAATTCTCTGCAACTTAACCATCGCATTTTCCATGCTATCTTTATTCGATAGTCTATTCGGACAGCAAGGTTCAAGACCTACGAAGTTTAGACACAAGCCTTTAGTTATCGCGTCGAACCGCTGATCTAATCTCACAGGGATCTTTACAAAAGAAATCGCAGAACGGTGTAGTGAAAGGGTTATGGACATTCATTCCATAAATTACACCGCGTCAAGTCGGTGACCAAAGAAATGCTGGATGATTTTGCCGATGTTCTTCTTGTTCTTGAGAAATGGAGATCAAGTAAGGCAATCGACGGCAAAAATTAGTGTGGACGGCATAACTAGCTGGGTCGTGTCTATGCTATACAAACATTACGCAATGGGCCGACGCATAGTGTCACAATATTCCACTTGTTCTTCAAAATAGAAATATACAACTGCAGGACTGAATCCGTGCCAGCTGTTGTCATTGGCATCAAGTATGTAACATAAGTGGTAGATCGATTCACTAATATGAAAAATAGTCACATCGACAGAGAAGGGACGCAGGAGAGCACAAGTGTGTCGGAAATGCACGGATGGCTTTCCAAAGTATTACGGAAGAGATACAATCCCATCGGACAAAGGTGGATCGGAAGCACGGTCGCTGTTTGGCCGTGTTTAGGCATCAGTTACTGCGAAGAATTCCTTGCATTGGTATGAGCGCAAAATGAGTAATAATAAAAACAGTCGTCTGGTATCTGGGAATAAACTTCCAAGCGCCACGGTGAAGTTAATTGAATTCTGATAAAAAATAGACCTGCTTGGTTTAGGTCCTTACATTGTCTGCTAACCAGCAATCATGAATTGTCCTGTACATACAAGCAGCGCCTAGTTAGGGTAAACCTCAAGCTGGTCAGTTATTGGTGCGGCAAAGGAGCAAAAAATCGGAAACAAGAAATATCCTTTGGAACTAAACAGAGATATCACAGACGTAGATGGGGATATGACTCGATTATTTCGTGCATTTACCGCAATCGCAAACATGCGACCAATGATGACCCAGAGAGCAAGGTCACATGAAATTGATTGGTGGCGATGGGCAACCGAGTAGTGCGCTTCGTGCGATTACGGCAGGGTCAGAGTCGGAATAAGCTATCTCTAGGTTGATAACTGTGACTTGTGGGGCTTTTGATTACGCATGAAAACAGTGAACGCTTTGTGTTCAAGTCAAGTCAAGCCAAGCCAAGATGACTTTTTACGTACCCAGACAGGTGCATTTTGGGTAGTTTACAGTATTAACTACAAAGGAGCTAAATAACCGCTAAATAGGAAAAAAATGTCACAAATGGAAAAACAAAATAGGAATAAGGTGCACAGATGTATGTCACTCGGGTAAACAGCCCCGCACCTATTAGCAACGACTGCATATCGATGGGGAGAATTATCAGGAGCTTTAGCCGGTTGACGTAGGCCACTTTTGTTAAAGCCTTCCTTGACAACAGGCTTTATTTCGACGAAAGCGACAAATCGCAGGTAGTGCTCGGTGTTGGAGGACTTTTTCAAAGAATCGACGGAGTCAAACGGTCTTAGTAACCTTGAAAATTTGACCAAAACATGCATACAAAATTAATATGCTCAAGGTAGATAGTGTAAAAAGGGATATTTCGAGGGACGGCAACGGCTACCTTAAAGGCTTCAGCTTATAGTAAGTAATTCATGGCTGTGGAGGCAATCCTCTGTCTCGACTCATCCGACCCAAGCTGCTCGCGCAAACATTCAGGAATGCGTTCCCCAATGCTAATGACCAGCACGTCTGTCTCCGCAGCTACAGCTGAATTGGCATAAGCCATCAAACTTGCAATGTTCCATCGTCAGTGTCTTCGATGAAAACATAGAGAGGAGTCTCGTGAACAAAAGCAACTGTAGTCCAACTGCAGTGTACGCCTTCCTAAGTAAGGCGTATACTCATCTCTGAGCTTGGTTAACGAACAGCAACTCGAAAAGGCCGGTGTTTTCTGAGCCACAGTCGTTAGATCTTGCCTCGTGGTTTCGTCGAAAAATTGAATAGGACTGGTGTGAGTCGTCATGATAAATGGAGTCCTATGGATCAGCCAGAAAAAAGGTTAAAAAAAGTTTTCGGAAATGGTGCAGTCAAAAGGTCCGCGGGGCAGTGTTCCATTGTTGCCTGATTCATGGAGTTTGCGTCTATCTTCATGCATTTTAGATTCTCCTCGACTTGGCTTTTATTGTCTAGTATCCTGGTGTTTGATAACTGATGTCATAGGGATTAAAACCAAGGCACCTTGGCGCAACAAGCGCGGGGAGCCAGTTGAGTTGAAATCTAATCTAATCAGACACCAACCTTACAAGTCATTATTACAGGTCGTTTTCAAAGTAATTTAAAATCTAACTATAGTCAACGCAGCGAAGCTAACGTCCATGCATCAGTCAATGTGATCGCCACCATGGAGAAGTATTCAGTAACAGGTTGCGTAAAAGTGGATGGTCTTCCAATAGTTCATTTTCCAGTCAACTCAACATTTCAGCACCGAGTAAAATGGAGCATTTCGTTACTCTACGCGCGGGCTATGACACAAGAGAAAATAAAAACCAACAAAATAAATGGTATATTCCTCGACGGTGCGAGGCACAGCTCAACTAGGTGGTCTGATCAATGCATGCGGCACAGATCAACCGGCAAAGTGGAAGTGGTGTGTGCAATCTGAAACTGACTGAGTGTTCAGTGGTAAGAAACAGAAAACCTGGTTCTGATCAAGGATAAGAGCTGTGCTATTGAAATGCGACGCCTAAAAGTGTCTCGCAAGTGGACTAGATGCTACCGCGTAAAATCAGTAGCTCACAAGCTCAAGACCAGACACTGATATCCTGCAGCATATAGGTAGACCAGAGTAAATTAGCAGTACCCGACATGAGTGCGTGGTTGATCGTCTCGTAAGTACATGTGTTTGTTGCAGTGAGAATGCGCTTTGTTTTTTTCTGATCGCATTGAATGACCTCAGCCCATTGCAAGCAGCTGGGTTAACTCGGTTAATTGGGACAGTTGCACAAAATTACGGAATATACATATGAGAGGTGGATTGACATTTAACTGAGAGCATAACTATTGTAAGCATGTTCTTGTTCGAGTATTGCATTCGTTATTCCGTAGTATGTAGATGAGAACAGGACATGTGGTAGCAGTTCTCGGACACAAAGGATACTAAGAATTACGATCATAAAATGCCAGTCCGCTAAACAGACGAGAGAAAAAGAGTATTCCTGTGCAAATCGAGAAGAAATAACCAAATCTAAGTCTATTCGTATGTCTCTAAGTGAAGGCACAGAGATAAAGGAAGGGGTACGGAAACTGACGCGGTCACGCTTGAAACCCGAAGAAACCATCCATGGTGGATGGCACTAAGATGATGATTGGAATGCTGAACTTGGTCAGTGGGTTTTCAATTTGTATAACCGCTACTAGTCGATGGAGGTGGAAACACATTCCAAAGGCTTCGGTATGTTATGCGACCGAATCCAACCATCACATGTTGGCTCAACAACTGCACGCACAAACACACCAGTAGCCAGATCAACTGGAAAAGCCCACAAGCAAGTGGGATGTGACCAGTGAATTACTTTTATTTGTGCCCCAATAGTACTGACCACAAAGTAATTGATGGACTGTTCACTCAAATTGAGATCACCTAAGATCAATGGAGTTCCTCTTGCCTGCGATCGCGGAGAACGCACTAAATTCAGTGCTACAGCATGTGGCAAGCGAGGTGGATTGACGGTGACAAGTGTCCTTCTCCTCCTCCTCAGGTAACTCAAGCCGTAGTGAGTAGAGTAGCCCTGTGTGTGTGATGCAGAGCTCACTTCCTTCACAACAGCGACAGGCTGTGTGCGCGCGTCCATGTTCACATTATTTCTCCCGGGGAAATGTTGGACCTATTGTTCAAATGCTATGCTTACTTTGCTTTACCGTAATCAGGCGGCCAGTGTGTGTATCTGAAGGTGTGGGGAACGCATGAATCGGACAGGCGGTCAGTGAGAGAATCAGTGTCCTCTCAAAGCATACACGAATGTCCAACAGTGTTCACGGGGACAACACAGACATAATGGTGACGGGTGTCTTTCAGTGAGACATGAGAGCGTTCCATGCGCACAGCTGGTGTGATTCATGCACCACGAATAAACTCACATGGTAAACTCAATCGATCGAAGCGTGACTGCACACTATTAGACCGTCGAATTCATGAGAGACCTCAATGGCAACAGACGGTAACCGAGTGAGGGAACTCAAAAATATGCTGTTGCAGCAAAAGGTAAGCGGTATATATGTAGTTCGTGTAACAGTCGGATCCGAATTCGATCGCCGTAGCAATGAAGGCTAGGGAACAAATGAATTCAAAATAAAAACTAAAGGTGTGATAACAGCCGTGTGCTTTTAACACTTCTTCAAGTGAAAAAAACGGAGGTAAGACAACACTTCCGGAAGAAGATGCCATCAGCAAATCAGTACAACGTCAGCAGTACGCAAGCACATCGTAACGACAGTTCGTTGCCACGGAGGCACCAACAGCCGCGTGTGGGCTGTATATATCCCGAGGTCGCCGATTCGAATCGGCGACCTCGGGATTACAACGTAAGCGCGCAATCCTTTGGGCCACCGACCAACTAAGTGGAAAGTTAACAAATAGTAGACTCATGAAACCGAACGCAGGTTAGACGTTCATTTCGCGACTACATAAAAATGTATGTGATCAATTGCCACTGATGTGGTCCGCTCAGAGGATTCAATCCAGGGAGATAGTACGCAGAAAACGGATCAATTTACTCAGTGGATCATATCTTTGGTCACGCCATTCGCAGGTCACTTCAATGTTTCACCCAACCGAGGGTGCAGCTACGGCAAAAGCTACACGCCGAAGCAGTTGATCAGGGGCCACACGAAGCACAGATAAGCAGGAAAACGAAATCTGTTCAAACATCGCACGCACTCCATTGGGGCGAATCAAAGGATTTCCGTCCAAGCGACAACTGTCAGATTTTAGTAGCACCTACCATTCCATCAGATGTAGGCAATTATCCGCAAGTAGCAGTGACCAAAAACGAGTAACTCATTAATATCTTCAATGCAAGGTGGTTGTTTTTTATCCCTACAGTTTAAACTACATACAGAGACGCGTTTTACCTTCTGCCTGTCAGGGTGATATTCCGCCGTCTACACAGAAGGGACCCAGAAAATTCACACGGGTCTTGCAGAGGAATAAGGCAAACTTTTCCGTGGTGATAAGTGAAAAAGATGGACCAATCCAAGTGAAATGTCACTCTGTCATTACAACAACCCCTTGCATTGTGAGTGCGCAAAAGATAGGTTCAAGCGAGTGACGCTGTCAGTTGTCCATCAAGAAGTGAATGCATACACAGTGAGTAGGGCCCCAATGGAGCTTCCATATCTGGAAGAGGCTGGGGGCAGACTAATCCACAATCATTTCCATCGCCAAACAGAAAGGGAATATGGTAAACTCTAGAACATAAAACTTCTCACGGTCGATCTTACTCGCAGGGGCTAGTTGTATTCAACTTTATCGTAAACGCCATCACAGAGAATGAGGTCAAACCCGAGAAAAACTGATCTTTTCGGACCATGTGGATGACACCGTTCTCCTGTCAACAATAGCGATACAGCACAGTCAACTGTGAATAAACCTCCTAGAACAGCGTCATGCATTGGCATGCGAATCGCGCCCTCTAAGTGCAGTGATTTGGCAATGTCATAAGCCATCTGGTGTTGTGTTATTCTACGGCGAAGAGGAACCGCATACTTAATTAACTCACCCATTTTAGGAGGTACATTAGCAGCGATGGACACGTGAGTGCTAGATATGTAAGACCACTAGCAGTGATCCCAATTGCCATTTGTACGGGATCACAGTGAAGGCATTACTCCGTCACGCCAGTGGTCTACTATGGCTCATTCGGTCTGACTACCTTAAGCACCTACAAGTCTTTGGTTAGCGTTGGTTGCGGATCAATACCAATGTCAGCTGATACCAGCGCCTGCGTAATAATGGAGTGCATAAGGGAGCACTAAGTTCAGTTCAGTTAAACAACCAAGATCCGGACACCGAAGTGCAGTGGGTCTAGTTGACAACTGCCAGAAAAACAATAGTAAAATGAAGTTGAACGCAAGAAGAATATAGAAAGAAAATGACACTGAGAAAGAAGTGCATTAAACCAATCGGAATAAAATAAAAACCAACAGCTGGATGCAAGAAACCGAATGCAGGAACGCCACTGACTGCGTGACTGCGCCATGGTTGATACAGCGTCCAAGCATTGCTGTGGACCATCCCGAGGCCCCCATTCGCGAAGACAGTATGCAGCAACCTGACCAAGTCTTTCCGTCAGCTTCCGCATTCCCCTATACCTCGTCATTGACTGGTCACTTTGCGGTTTCGCTCAATTTGGCGCAGCCACGGCGTATAGAATCAACACAGAGGAAGTCGATCGACGGACATACCGAGGACATGATCTAGCCAACGTAAGCGGTTGTCTTAGTAAACACTCGAGTGAGGTACTGACAGGCCTACGTCAGTATTGCTCACTCGGTGTTCCCAAAAGACGTGGGCAATACCCCATAAGTATGGGTGATCAAACACGGTCAATGCGAGTACTAAGTGGAAGCGAGGTAGTCAACCGTTTGGGTGAACGCGTAAAACTTAATAAGTAACGTTGGATGTAGATGGAAGAAGAGGCCAAGCGATGACAGGGTCAAGAGGTATGTAAACCTTCACTTCGAAGTTAGCGTCGGTTGATGCATCCCGACTGCTGGGCTGGGGTCCCAAGGACGGTGAACACGTTTGGTTGGATATCCTTGTAGATATGGAGAAGAGTCGACCTCAGTGGCGTTTGTGTTGTGAGCTTTTGTCCACCTCATCACTTTGATTCCCCTTCCAACTACGCACATACAAAATATGATATGTAAACTTACAGTAGTTACCATTTGAGCGTTTTTTGTAGTCTTTAACTTTTAGTATCATTACCTATTTCGGATTGAGAGATACATTAGCTGAGGTGTGTTTCTCACTCTCAGCTAACGTGTATTGACTGAGTGATTGTGGGGAAAGAAATGGAAAAGGACAAATTTCAATATACGCCACGTAAACGTGCCGATTACATATGGTGAATCAAAAAGAAGCAAATTGGCCTTGCAGATAATCGTGTGACGCCACAAAGAAAGAAGAAATTTGCATACATATACTTACTGGGATCAGATCGCGAGTCATTGAGATGATAGAGTATTGGGACAAGCAGATCCAACACCTGGCTCGACTTGAGCACGTAGTACATAAACTTCTTATTGATTTCGCACATCCTCCAAAACAGCACCAAAAGCTCTTGATGCATTTGAACTTTTTTAGTTGAACTGGGCAGGTAGGTTTGTTGTAACGGGTTATTCAGCAGCCTTGTTAGACCGGAGAGGATAAAAGCGAAATCCTTCCAGGGGGGGAGCAAGAAGCGAATGGTAACGGCGATGGATGAGGGGTGTAAACAGAGTACGAAGCGATGAGTAGTGTAGGTGGAAAGTGAACAGGGTACTGTTGACATAAATGACAGCATTCAGTGAACTGCTACCTCAACTCGATAGCGCGGGGAATTATTGCTATGTTTAGCAACAGCGGGTCACCTAGGAAAACATGCATAGTCCAGCGCGACTGACCTATTCATAGCGGGAAGAGCTCTGATTAGGGCCATTCAATATAAGCACAACACTCACAAGGAAGAGCGCCGCTGATGGTAGTGGGGAATGTATTTTGAGTCACAGAAAGTTACGATGAAGGCGAAGATGGCTACTTCATCGGGTGCTTTAGAGTAGTGGAGTCCCAATGGGAATAAATAACAAATAAATAATAATGTGTCAGCTGTACGCCGTAACGGTGCTTCGCTGTAGCGCGACCACCACCGGTCGCGCGTGGGTTGAGTATACCGCGAGGACGCCCGCCCCTACGTGGATTTACAACTGGCGACCTTATAATTGTAAGCCAGACGTGCAGACCACTCGGCCACCGGCCGATGACTGCTTGGATGAAGGATAATACAGCCAGAGTACATAGTAGTATTGACCGTGATCGGACTGGACTTCAGCAGAATGCAACGAATCATGTGCCTCTAGGGTTAATTACGAAACGCTGCATGGTCCTTTCCAAATACCTTCAGTGAGATTCATACCAGACACAATATTTGTTAGAGATCAGAGGCTGTTTCAGCAGCCACCTCATGATGATAGTTTGAGAGATCAGTTCCCGCAAAAGTCAGCTACGGGAGGCAGAAGTGTAAGGTCTATAAGGTCTATAGTTTCATAAGCCTATGGTGCTAGCATGAATCTTTGTCCTTGATAGTGGGAGAGCGGAAACCCCTCATCGTTGGTTCGCCATCGACTACCTCAAGACAGACGACCTCTAGCAAATATAATGCAAAATCGCTAGAACCCAATTGTGCTTGATCGCGGTAGCAAGTACACATGTGATGGCAGAAAAACTGTTATGAACTGAAACTTCCAAAAACGTGTGTAGGCAGCCTCAAGCAGGTCCCAACGGCCTTTCGAAAACACGATCCTGAGCAAGGGAACACTCCGCACAGATATGTGAATCCAAGTTCGGAACTAAAAGTTTCGGATGAAATCACCCAAACAAACCTGTATTTTCTCCACTGAGTTAAAAACTCGATGTGGATTATTCCGAAAGAAAGAACCCTTCCCAAAAATTGTAGCAAAGGTACCATTTACCTACAATACACCGTCATGTCAAGTTAAAAGAGACTACCTCTGACCTCACAAACCAAGCTAGCAAGACACACAAGTCGTACACAAATCCACACACTGCATCCGGTCGGTGAACAGACGATAATGTTCATGTTACAGTCACCTGAAATTAGTACGGATTGTAACTCCAATAGATGCATACAAGAAAATAACGACTTGTTATCTCTGTTTCGCCCAGATTCGGGTTTCAACGACCCACAACGAACATGTCCCGCTTTTCGGGTGATGTTGAACCTGTGGCTCACGGTATATGCAGTGAAAGTGTCGCTCTCAGAGGATGTATGGAGGATGTCGTTTAAGAGTGGATTTTAGTGAACAGGTAAATGCATACACACTGTCGGAAATGGTGGGCAGTGACTAAAGGAAAACTATATCTAGTTATTACGACTTAGGCTCCCAGCCTAGATAGCGGCAAAGATGTGTTCTCCACGCAGGTCTGTTCTCCAGTTAGAATGGCTAAAAGCACGGATGTGGTAGCAACCGCGAAAGACATGAAAGCTCAGATCCACCTTCACATAGAATCAGAAGACCGCATCGGAAGCCAATTACTAGTCATTACTCATGGACACAGACAAGAACAACGAGTATCTTCGGTCGTGCACAGGCCACAAGGTCGACATAAACACGATTACTTTATGACACACGTATAAGCACTGGGTTGGATAGTGTCTGAAAGGCTCAGAGTGACCGCATCATCGTCAGCTGTACATGGACTTCCGAGTAATCTAGAGCGTTTATCTCGATTCCAACCGGGTTTTCGTCATCCACGAGTCAGTAGGAACAAAGCAAATTGCAGCGCCAATTATCAACGAAGGACGAAGCACGTGAACGGAATGCCCACTGGATTCAGTTTTAAAGTGCTACAAATGAAGTCGCGTGTTCAATCCGCAAGAGGCGTATGAATGGGAAAAGGATACACAGAACTGAGTTTGATTAGAGTACGGAAGATGGTTCTGTCGAAAGGGTAATGTTGAGGTATTTGTGAGGTTTGGAAACTGCGGTTGGGGAAGTCTCAAGAATAACGAAACGCGGTGGTGAGTGGCGAGGTGTGACATGGAAAGGGCCAGCACCACTAAAAATACCAGGGTGATTTCCTAATCCATTTCATAGAAGGATAAAAAAGACTCCCGCGAGCGCAATGGTAAATATGAGAAAGAAGAATAACTGAGCTACTCTCATCAGCTTGGACATTGCGTTGAAAACATTGAAAAGCAATTACGCTATCCGGTAAGTCAGAATCGTTAGCTAGAACCTATATGTCCTCGTTGAATCAACCTTACCTTCGTATGAAGTGGTCGATTACCCAGGCTAATGTCCATGACTCCATCCCACAATTGCTGCCTTGTCCGAGTTCTTTGCCCTTAGCTACGGACACACATGGTTCAACATCTGTGTCCATCTTTACCGATGATTCATTCCCTTGACCTGTTTGGCGATCCCTGTCCCTCCTCCTCCTCACAACCACTGACGTTGGACCGTTCATCCCACACTTGGTGTCGACCGGCCATTCAGACGGTGCGGGTGCCCTTGCTCGAGCCGCCTATGTGCTCAATCCCTTTTATCACTTTGATCGATTAGCCAATCCCCCCATTCTCCATAAAGTTGACCCACATGCCACTGAGGTTCAGTTTGCTGGATCCTTGCGTGTGATCTCGTGGTCCGACTCGGCATGACTTGCATCGGACCCAATTTGCTTGTCCCTGGAGTTGTCACCGCCAAATGGTTGTAAGAATATCACTGAGATTAGTCATTCACTTAATACTCTATTGTTTGCCTAATAGCACCAAAGTTTCTACCAGCTTTAAGTTTAAATTATAGTAAAACCTCCCCTAAGTTGACTACTCAAGGGACTGAACCAAGTTGGTCATCATATAGAGGTCTGGATCTAAAAGATTTACCTGGCGAACACTAAAACAATGAAAAAGACAGTCAACTTAGAGAGGTGGTCAGAATATAGAGATGGTTAACATCGTTTTTTGCCGTGTTTCGCTGATGGTCGACCAGGTTCGGGTTATTTGAAATCATTTCCGATGGTTTGCGTTTAGTTCCGGCATTGACTCGTTGGATTTCCTGGTGCCAAAGCATCGCTCAACTGTTCTAAGCGTTGTGTCGCTTACAACATGAACCCATCTAGTGGGCTGACACAACAACTCCCACACTCGAGGATATCCGATACGAACTTGTACCGCTGAAGTAGAACAAAGCTCTTCGCAGTGACGATGACGGAAACTCACTGAAATAACTATCCCATCTGACACCATTTAACGTGCAGAATTGACTAGTAGTCGAGAATTTTAGGTATCATGTCGAAAGTGGTCGAAAGATGTGAGAAGCTTCGTGGTGTCAGAGTTATTTGCAGTGCCTTCGAACCATTCAACCTACGTTTGCTGCAACGGCTGACTGATCGTTGCGAAAGACGAGCCACAGGAATTTGGGGTGGCAAGCGCTCCGGGTGAAGGCTCATCGGCCACACTTTTGTGTTTCGCCAAATAGTTAAACACTACTGACATTCACTAACATGAGGGCTGATTTTGATTCCGTCGACTGCAACCGTTTGTGAGGTTAACTTTCGAGGGCGTGAGATAAAAACTGTTTTCCGTTTTATAGCCTATGACTTCAGACTGTGGCAAAGGCAAAAGAAAACATCCCCATAAGACTGTCAAGATAGTTAGAGTACCTCAATGCTGCCTTAAGTCCCAGTTGCTCTCCAACCCTGCGATCAAAATACTTATGTACGGCTTTCTTGAGTGCACGTTAGGTGGTCGACTAAGAGGCCTCGAGTACGCCATCGATCGATGGGCGATCGAATTGCTATCCAAGCGCTGTTGAAAAGACTGACGCGTGACGCATTAAACCACGGCATTCAGAAAGGAGGTCGGATCCCAGGTGAATATAGTGAGGAAACTATGGAGTCGAAAGCAACCGAATATATGAGTGTACCTAGGAAGCGATACGCATGCATTGAAAACTAACCTCATCACGATGGATGCGCGACATGTAGCTTGCGAATAAATTGACTTCGTTGTTTTCAGGCTCGGACATGCTGGTGCGGCTAGCAGAACCATTTCCAGCGGAGCTGGTGGTATCTTCAGAACATGAACCCAAACGATTAGGCACTTGATGTCGTAGGTTCCGGTGTGGACTGGTTGTGTCGGCGGAATTCGACGCATCTAGCACGATGCATAGGACCTGTAAGTGAGGGATTGTGCGATGTGTATACACTGGCCAAAGTAAACCGAAACCCGTGGTAACATCGGATGAGTTAGATAAATTGGATAGTGGGTTATCGGCATCATCAACAGACAAGGACCAGATGAGAGTAAAATGAAGATATGTATGTTGCGGATAGAACGTGGGAACTGCTGTAAACAGGAATTTGGCGAAGCTAAGCGCGTGTGGCACTGTCGACCTGAGTAAGAGCTTGCACGGTCTCACACCATGAGATCGTACCGCGCAGCTATGTGACATAAAAGCGTACTGACGATGGCACCTCGAGGAGTGACGAAACGTTTATAGCCCAACTGCCGTTCAGCGAACACTCAGACCAACAAAGTGAACAAGCTGAGCTACGAACATTTACTTCTATATCGAAAAAGTGGCTAAAGTGAGATGGTTAGTGTGAAAATTTCGACAGAGAGTGTAGTGTAGCTCCGAAGAAATTGGAGTGGTGAGAATATAATTAGCGAATACATGAATATAAATATGTTTAAAGGCAGTTAGATGTGCCACCAAAACCATGGGGGTTATGGAAGGGGAGAAGTTTAGTCAACAGAAAGAAAAGATAGGCAACAAAAGGGGATAGGTTCTTCTTTGATGTTTTTCCTTTCTGTTTTAAACCGAACATTAGATGGAAGATAAATGGTGGAGCATCACCGCCACTAGGAGTCAGCATTATGTGATCCCCAACCTGGAAGAAAGACAGATCCAATTAACGCTAGACATCAGACAACATTCTTCATGTTTCTTGCCCACATTATCGGTTGTCCGCAGCGGTATCCAAAAAGTGCAAATAATGTGTGACGAGGAAATCGATGGGCTGGTATGCGTAGTACGTGACCGAGATATCGCAAACGGGGTCTCGGTGCCTTGGAAGCAGAAACTGTTCGCTTCGAGTACTCTGTTTCAAATTTCCGTATTGCTAACATGATAGTGCCACCAAAAGTGAGCGATCGTTCGCAAGCAGCGGTTGTCGAAATCTGACAGTCAGTTCAAATCTTACAAGCAATCAGGTCGGGTCTCACAGCTGTAGAACAGATCGTGCGGACAGGGTTTAAAACAGAAGTCGAGATGACATCCCAACTGTCTCAAGTTAATGAATGCAAGGCGAGATTTAGAAAATTCATCTCCAACACCACCATCATCCACGATGAAACTACCGAGATAAGTAAAGCTGTTAAATTGCTTCAGGCCATCACCCAAAACAGTGAGCGATGGCATAGGCGCTCCCCAAATCTGAAGCAAAACTGTACACTTAGATGGTCTAAAATACAAACCAAAGGTAGACACCTATATTGCCAAGCATTTCAAAATGTTTCCGAGGGACAGTGAATGATCCCTTAGCAAGATAATCTGTGAGGGAAGTCAGCTTCCTTAAATTGATTTATTTTGGGAGATTGTATGGGAAGTAAATAACCGCTGCAATTTATCTATATGTAGGCACTTTTTACTGGAGCCATATCCTTTTACTTCGGGGCTTTGTAGCAAGCAGGAAGTGGGCGACCGAAGCGATTACTTGAGGTGATACCGACGCATATCACATCTGCCGACGGAGGTAATGGCTTTGTCTGCCCAACCATATCTACCGATGATAATTTGAAGCAGACAGTGTAAGCTTAGATCAAGCCAATGGAACGGCTGGTCTTGAAGTTGGCACTTTGCAGCCGTCCTCCTTCCTCGCAGAGCAACCCATTAGTGGAACAAATAACAAAGAACATCGCTGATTTTCGGCATGATCCACAACCCGGTGTGACAATCGAATACTGTTACAAGTGGTACAAGAGCATATTCCTGATTGAACAGGCCAACCGAGATGATGAGACGAAATCCTGTCCGCCGAAAAATCTATAAAGTGGAACGAACCCGTTGCTCAGAGTTTATCCTCCCAGCCGAACCGCAATCACGGAACTTCAACAATACGGTGCCGATTTTCGGGGACACCCCATCAGTGTTCAACACTCGACTTCAGTGCCTAGCAACAATCAAGACACCGACGATTTTGTCATATACACTGTCCACGTGAGTATGATCGGTACAAGATTGGATCACATACCGGGGATCAATACCGATGCTCGATTTGCGTTTGTGGTCTCCAGTCACTCCGTGATGAACATCTGTGAACCAGACTACTGGTTAAGATCGAGTTGGAACCCAACATCATACTGGCGTAATTGGTGCACGAATGCGAGCAGGGTTTCAAGTTAAAACAAGATTTTGAAATGATCCAGCAATATTACAGGACTTCCCTTTCTGTTTTCATGATCGGCCATTGAAAGTCAAGTCAGTTCGAAGAAGTCTCCGTATATCTGTCGCTACTGAGGTTCCTGACGTTACCGGATGTCATGCGTTCAGACAGCACCGTTGCCGATGGTGTCATACAGTCTGATACAAAGATGGCTTCTGCCAGTCGCTATCGTCTGATAAGGTTAGTCCCAATTCCTAAGCATCGCAGACGTCATATTGCTAACGTGGTTGTCAGGTCATCCCGTCTGTTCGCCACCCTTCAAACTAATGCTTCCTAGAACTGGAAACATGTCCTGGTTCACATCAGTGGCACTCGGCCCGTGTTCAACTCGACACAGTAGGTGATAGCTCCTTCATCTCTCGAGGAAATACGGGTGCTCATTTGGCAGCCTTATGGTTCAACCATTCAGCCGGACGGCCACCAGCGCTTGCGGGGTCTCGGTGCGTTAACTGGACGACTGCGATGACCAGTGTCCTTCCGAGGGAACTCCAGTGACGATAGCTGCTATACTTCTGAATCTAATCTCGACTTCTTCGGACCTAACTAGCTTGTCTTATGAATTTGCAGATTTGTTCCACCGGTGCCAACGTGCCCTCGATGCGGACGTAGTGATTGCTTCCGCAGTAGCTGAGGAGGATGTGCGTCGGCAATCCACAGATACTATTTGTGGAATTCCGGTTGCCGTTGTCGGTATTCGCCAAGCAACTGCGCAGAACCCGGTACTTCAACGTGTCATTTATCAGAACGCGATGACCCGCGGAACGATTTGCAACCGAGCCGCAGCAGTTTTTCTACCACCGCGAGGCATTGGCCGTTCTCGATTCGTCTTATGTTCGCCGAGTCTCGCTTCCGTTCAACATTTCTGCACCAGTTTCACACTAGTCATGTGGGCATCAGTGGGATGAAAACCATCGCTTGCGGTTATATCGAGTGGACTGGTATTGATGAAGACATACAGCAATTGATCAAAGGGTGTTCTAAGTGCTAGCGAACTGCCAGGCAGGGATCAGTTCGGTGCTAACCACCTCGAGATCCATGGTCCTGCTTTCACCTAGACCGCGGTGGACCAATCGACAGAATGTCGCACCTTGTCCTTGACGACGTTTACTGCAAGTGGACAGAAGTACTAGCACTCAGTCCCGTTAAAAGGCATGATTGCCACCATTCGGAAGATCTCTAGCCAGCATGGTCTACCAACTGTTACCAACTCGATTAGAACAATTTCGCGAATTTAAGCACCCGTTTTAACATCTAACACACATGGTCGCCGCCGTACCACCGGACGTCAAATGGCCACACGGAGCGTTCCGTCGAGATATTGAAGTGGGCGCTCCAGAAGTCGCGTGGGAAGGGGACTATCGATGGGCTCCTGCAAGCTTTCTTGTTTGTGTATTTAACCACTCCCAAACCGGCAACGTCTGACGGTCGATCCTGTACCGCAAACTGCGCACGGTGACAATGATGTCATGTCCAACAGAGACTCACATTATTTGCATTCTGCATCAGAGGATCTTCATGACATTAAGAACGACACTTCTGTATACGCACAACATAACAGATGCGGACACAAAAAATGAGTTGAAACCGTCGGTACCGCACGCCGAGGAAGAGAATGCGAACGCGCAAATAGTTACGTCCAAGGAACGCCAACCCCGCGGAAGACATTAATCACCGACTACTCCCGCTAGACGTAGTACTGGAAAGTTTTGCAATTCCATCCAGGCCATTGGAAGATGAGATCGATATTACCCTTCGCGACTCGCCGATGGATAAATCGAATACGACCCCAGGTAAAGCCCTTGCATCTCAATCCAAGGAAGAACTACGGACAGCCTATTCTCAAAAGGGATATAAGGGAAGTCAGCTTTCCTAAGATGATTTATTTCTGGGGGTTTTATCGGGAGTAAAACATCACTGTAGATTACCAATATTTAAAAAGTTTATTCTAGTGTGATTTTCTTTTGCTTCGGAAAGTAGTACTGTTTCTTAGGAGTTTGGGGCAAGTAGAAAGTGTGCAACCAGAGCGATTAGTTGAGGTGATATCGATCCACATCACAATGTTATTAGCATAATCAAGACTCACGACTTTATCACAGGGGAGAAACACAACGCCACAGCCCTGGCCTCCTACCAGTGTGTGGTGGAAAAAATCTTCATTGTAAACTTGAAGGAAAAACGGTATACTTCGCCGATGATAGCAAATGAAGAACAAAGACTGTCATAAGCGGTAACTTTACCAGTGGTGTGACTGTACAGTTCCTTGAGGACTACGAAAAACTTATCGGGCACAAGGTTTCTTGGCAGACAAGATGACCCATTTGCTGAATCAAAAGCGGTTCGAATGCCCAAAAACACCATGATTGTTGAATTTCGGTGGACATAAGGATTTTCTGGAATTTGACGCATCGTGAAGATTTGGTCGGTGCAACTTTAGCGTGGAAGGAAAATGACTTGTTCCCCTCGACAGAATCCCTCTCTAGTCGCTGAAAGCCTGCGAAGTAAAACGGACGCAAAATTCCTGAATGTAACGAAGACTAATGAGGTCCCACGGTAACTAGAGTAATCGTCACAGTAAACGTTCTTGTGAATCGGGACACTGACTGATCCTCCTGTGGTTTGGGAGATTTAACATGCGTCCAAACTTGGTGAACAGTAAGATCATTTCATTGACAAGCATATACCCATCTTTGGATACAGCCGAGGAGGGAGTTTGTCGATGATTCTAGGACTGGACTGGGTTGGAGATCTTCGCTTCGATAAAAGATTCTGCGGCAATAAGCCAAGTACCATCCGATGGAAATTGAGGTGTCACTAGAGATTGTGTTAGGTAATTAAACGGAAGAGCAGATTGCTCCACTTAACGATCCAAGCGCACGCGATCTCTGTACCGTCTAACTCGCAATGTCTGAGTGATTACGTGTGATTTGCATCCGACACCATTGGTTGCCAAGCAGTTTCGAGGATTTTGCCAAAATTCAGATTTTCAATCTGCAGCGAACAAGATTGCAGCTAAATAAACTCATAGAAAACATGATATAACGCCAGCGTAATTACGGCTGGTCAGTGTCCCGAGAAGGGAAAGTGAGATTCTCACAAAGTTTCCGTTGACATGCCACTTGCACAGTAGAGTCTTCCAATTTACCAGTGTTCAGCTGTTTGCTTAACCTTAAGCGAACCACCAAAAACGCATACAAACGGTCGCACGTAGCAGCACATGATCAGATTCGATGCAAGCTAGCCAATAGAATTTGCAGTTCAAAATGTTGCAAACTGCGTGCAGGAGAGGTAAGGTGGGGGGTTATAGCGCGAAGATCGTGCGCTATATATTCGGCACAAACCAGAAGGCCAACCAAAAGCAATGGGTAGAGCACACAAATTAAGCTAGGAAAAAGTTTGTTGGACGGGAGGAGAGTTAGCTAATGCTGAAAATAGAACACCAGAAGAGAGCTAGCTAGGGAGGATGCAGTTGGGTGTCGAGTGCGTGGACGGAGCGTCGTTCGCAGTCGAGTCGCGCGCCAAAGGCGGAGATCGTATTCGTGTTTCAAACAAACGGGAACAACGTTCCAACAGGCAAACCGCCTCATTCCCTAATTCATAAGAAATCTATCATTTTAATATACTTTAGAATAGTTTATATAGTCATACGGGGGAATCTCTAGATCAATATAGCGTCAGCACACAGACTGAGCAGCCTTTTTCAATTATTCGAGCAACATCATTGTGTCCATGCAGAATTCCGTGACAGCATTCGCTTGGCAGTAAACAACCAACATTGAAGTAGTCGGGTTTGCACCCATTCGACAATGGACTGCCTGGTTTGAGCACCGGATGGTGCCCTCCCACCGTCAGAGACAATGTGTGGCGCTCGTGCTCCATGCCAATCGAGCTGTGAGCTTATAAGCTGTAAATCTGTTGTCTCCCAATGCTAGGTTTTAAAGTAAGGGGGATATCAACCTCTTCCCAACCTCCGAAGAGGATGCTAAGACTGAGTTGGGTTGGCCTGTCTGGTATGAAGGCGCTGAAGGCACTCAGAAATTGCTATCTAGCGCACACAAGATAAGCCGCCGAGCATACAAATAATAATATATTTATTCTTGGCGGGCATAAAACATATAAACAGGAGATTGAACGACGCCACAAGAAAACCGTACCAAACTCCGTCTAGTGAGATCACAGACGACAGTGATAGTCGATGACCAACAAGCAGAATTGGGGGACACAAGAGAGGTAGTCAATGCGAGCCCGAGTGATAAAAGTCGTAGTGAAGCCATTCTCAGTCTCACAGTGTTTCAAGATCTATAGTCGCAAGTTGCTCGTGGATTTCGAGCAGTGATTTCAGCTTATTGGGTAAAAGTTTAAAAGAAGTTTTAACTGACACGACTGAATTCAGACTGCGAAATGCGATGGTGGCAAAACATGACCCCGGTTATTTACTCAGAAACAAGTGACGAATGTAAATGGTAGTAATCAAAAAAATGAATGATTATGCGACTTGTCAACTTTGATAAAAAACGGGGTGAAAGATCAAGATGTTAGGGGATATGATTTTGTTGTAACGTTGCCCTCGCCCCTGCTCTCTGCGCCACCAACCCAGCCGGTGAAGAAACAAGAAATCGAGGTCTGCAAGACCGACGTGGATTAGGAACAGAACACGGTTAATTTTATAAGTCACATGCTATCCTCTCCGGCTGCACGTTCCTGAGCTGACTCACGCCACTTGTCTGGACAGATTCCAAACCTGCTAGCAGTCTGAACTGGCCAGCTGAAGTCGCACTCACTCACGCCTGCTGCGTAGCAACCTGTCATGATGCTGGACTGATTTCAGCAGCTTTCCGCGTGAATTGTCGCATAACCACTTGACGTCTCGAAACCGTGTCATTCTTAGATTGCGACCTCCGAATACCTCCACGTTCGAATTGAGACTGCTTGCGCACCATTCGAACTCGAGGTTGTTTATATCTTTTCGCCTTGAGATTAACTTGTGGTCATTGTGGTCGTCTCCGCTTTCGGGTCGAACTGCAATGTGCGTCAGTTGTTACTTGCAGCTCCTGTTGCGATCCACGTAGCCGCTCAGCTTCGTCTTCCCAACCAAACGTGTCTAGCAGGATGTACCACGGTAAGGATGGTGGTTACAACAGAAGTAACACAAATGAATGAAGGGAGCGTTTGAAAAGATTAGCCGTTAACCGACAGCATGAATGCACAGGAGCGACTCGACTTACCTGTAGTGAAGTTTCGACTAAAGGCTCACGGCTATCTGAGAACATGAGATGGTTGTATGGGAGGCCAAACCCAACGGGATCGTAGGCGCAAACAACATTTAGCAAAGAGGCGAAGAGAGGAAGGGCATGCCGGTTGCTAGCACTAGTGAAGAATGTAGTCCACTTGTTCTGGACATGATATGCCTCCTCGCGTTCCAGGTACATGGTTTCCGAGAAGCAAGTAAGAAGCAGCTTCAGAATCTCAGTGCGATTCAAATCGTGCGCGGCGTTATGAGCTGGGGTCTGTGCGAAACCTACACCTGCTTGCCAAATGTATTCGCAACTGTCAATGGTATGCATGTCTTCAGGACCCTCCTAAACAAAGAGAATAGCAAAATGTGGAGATAAATTAGTGCTATATCGAAAGCGCATAGCAAACTGAATAGAAAGCATGGAACAGAGAAGAAAAGAGCGGAAAAGCTAGGCTTGGATCAAGTAATACAGGTAAAAGCTGGAGAAGCGTCGTCATGACTGAGGGTTCTGGACACAAGCACGTGCGCAGCAAAAGAATCGGAATAACGATAACAGCCATGCGGTCATCTTCAGTAATCTCCTGCCGATACACCCAAGAACTGCAAACATCCGGGTCAGATCGTATGAAACTGGTACTGAAAGGACCGGGAAAATTTACTGGCTGAAACAAACTGTTCCCTTCGCAATTTGCCAGAACAGATAGCTGAATGCTAGCCTATCCGGAATGACGCAACCGATTGTGTCTGCTCAACGAAGTTAGAACAAAAATGCCGGAAAAAGCAAACTCCGAAAGAGAAGAGCGCATCAGAAATTGTGATGATAGAAAGGCAAAGCTATATGTATCAAAGTGTGCTAACTGCGAACTGGAAGCATCAAGATGGTGACAGATAGAAATTGGAAAGATCAAAATTGGTGAAGAGAAGGAATCAATAGCACGTCAGAGAACCGGATCGGTAGTTTGCTAAAACGCGAAGGTCATCAGTCGCGCGTGTGATAGTGCTAGTGTGAGGTTTCCCGCACCGACAATTTGAAGCAGTGACTCGTGGATTAAAAGTAGGACTACTTGTACCGACCGATTAAATAGTGGACCATTCTAAAGGATGACAATGGTTCCACCATGTAACATACTTAAGCGTGCAACTGCAAAAATGCGGCCCATTAGCAGAACGAAAAGCACATGTTAAAATGAAAAGGAGCATTCCCAAATGAATCCCACAGACTGGTGTCCGGAACAAAATGCCATGGCAAAAATCTTTCTCAGTTGGCAACGCCCTGAGACAATGAGTGACGATGCTGAGGGTCGAGTACATGAAGGGTTGCTTTCTGCCTAATAAGAATCAGAGATAATCCGATTATGCTTGATTAATATAGTCAGAAAAGACTTCAATGCATCAGCCAGCACAGCCAACCATCAAAGATGTGAGGTTAGAGGATAAAACGGAGAAAGTCATCACGAAGTACGCGGGCACCAGTTTCACCGTCCGCAAACATGGGGATGAATTGTGAAATCTTCAAGATCGACAGCTGGCTTAAAAGTAGTTGTGGGCCCGTAACCTCCCTAACGATGAAGGAGTACGAAAGCAGTAAAGAGGTGTTGGTGCATCGAAGCATAAGCATGTCTGTTACGGTCAGTAAATAGGATTGAACCCAACTTGTTGAATTTAGTACAGAAATGAATTATGATTTCATGCCGGTCCGTGGCAGAAGGGATCATAAGTCTGCGTTTTAACCCGAAGGTTACAAGTTCAAATCCGCGTAAGAGACCGGACGACGTAGCAACCTTAGCCCAAGCGCGACTAGTGGGGGCTGCGTGGCAGCGAAACGTCAGTACTGTGTACGGGCATACTTCCAATGCTTTTCTTCCTTCCCTACCTCATGCAAAGTTGGACAATAATAAACAGACTTAGCAGTGGTCTTAATGTGTCCGACGGCTAACTTATGGTGGATGGATCTACCGAAGGTTGAACCAGAACGACGGGACGAAGGCAGGCAGAAAAATAAAAAGTTAAATCGAACATGAAGACAACAAATTTGGCGAAGTTAATGATTATCAGTTAGAACAGCAAAATTAAAAATAAACGCGCTATCCGTAAGTTGGCACATCGTACCGATGCTTGGTTGCCATGCGACCACCACATCGCACGTGGGCTGGATATGCTACGAGGTCACCCACACCAACGAGGAGTTCAACCGGCGATGTCCGGATCAGAAAACGAGCGTGCAATCCTTTCGGGCAAAGACCGATAGAATTACGAGGCCAATTGGAAACTTAAGGGGGATACAGAATGCATCTGGGCATGCAACCTGAAGATGCGCGTGAAAATCCGGTACCGCAGTCCTATAAAACAGCTGGCCGGCCGGTGGCAGAGAAGATAGGGAGGGGGCCTGCTTTGTAGTCTTAACGTCAACGGTTCGAATCTGCGTAGGTGCGAATGACCTCGCAGAAACCCCAGGCTGCGCGCGATTAGTGATAGTCATGTGGTAGCGAAGCGTTGGCATGTTATATGGGGGTGTTGTTATAATCTTAGAGAACACTGATCAGCGAATAGAGTGAATGCATATAAATCGACAGTTATGTAAGAGAAGGTACATGGGCATAAAAAGGTTAACTCACTGGACCTGCCTTGATCAATGAATGTACAGTGAAATCTGGGCAGAATAAAAGATCCTAAAAACATAGGCAAGGTGAAAGTAATTGGTCAACTTACGCATAAAGCTAAGATAAGAATCTGAGCTGGTGGGACACACTCAACCTGAAGTCGTTAGGGGTTCAGAATGTCATCTTACGTCTGTGGCAGATTCTGATTCCCCGGGTAAAGTAGACCAAAAGAAAGAACGCCAATCAGGGTCTTCTAACATGTAAGGAAGCAGACGAGTGAGCAGCCGCACACAATTAAGGGCTAACCGTTAAGTATAAAATGCATTCATACCAATCTGTTGGTCTTTCACCGACGGAAAAGATGCTACTGCAATTTGTGAAAGTCTTTCAACAGCTTTGTAGCACAGTGTCGCAAGATTGTTGGGCGATTCCTCTCGCAACGCGCGTATTTCGGCCGAAGGGATCAGGACAAAGATATCTTGAGCAGTGATGTTGACATCTGCCCAAAACTGTTCCCAAAACTCATTGTCGTTGGCGTCGACCGGCTTGCAAAAATTGGTGAGTAACAGAACTCACCTGTGTCTTCGTAGTCAGCTGTATAAACACGTTGCGGTAAGCAAGCTTAGAACTCTCGCTGCCCATCACGCTTGTACTATATACCCAGGTCGGGATTTCGAGTTCTTACTTGCTCAAATGCGCAATCTAGGATGTGAAAAGGATTGAAACACAAAAAGTACTAACGAGCGAACATGTGTTATTATCACAACAACCAAATAAGTAATTGACCTGAAATGAAATGGAAAGCGAGGACAAACATAGAATAGAGGCTAGGACCGACTATCGTAACCATAGAGGAGGACAGAGAGAAAAAGAAACAATAATAGTCTAGCTAAAGGACCCATACAACAGTATGATATGCATCTGTCGGAGGAATATCAAGGCTGCGTACGTATATGTACGCATTGGACAAGGCCGATAGATTGTATAAGGAATGGGGTCTACAAAGCGAAACAAATACATCGTATGAAACAACCAAAACCATCATTAGGAGACGGGGTTAAATAGTAGATGCATCTTGCTTCCAATCATGAGGAGATGGATGCTGTTGTCACCACTGCCGACAGAGGATAGAGATGAATGAATCAAGTTCATGTGAGACTGGAACGGTGGGGAAATCCAGTGAGTATTCATACTTGGGTGAGTCACTGAACCGTGGACAGTCGAAATGCATTGGATTGTTGGCGAATCTAAAACGAAACACCCGATTTATACCCAAGTCAAGAAACTAATGCTCATGTATCTGGCATTAACAATCCCCGCTGTGCCTTGAAATGAGAAATATAAAGGAATGCAAATCAAGTAGGGAGAAGGGGAATTTTACCTGAGCAGATGATAATACTGGAGCTTTTAGGATGGTAAAAAAGTAAGTTTTAAAGGAATCAGTTGGCAGAAGGGGTAAAGATGCTGAAGCTGATAGGTATTGGGTGTTGCCTGCCCCACCACTGGCTTCCAACCCATTTGGTATAATCAAACGGAGATACCAGGCATCGAACCCGGGACGATAAGAATGTTAGTCGAAACTTCCACCCCTTGGATTACCGGGACACGACAGTCCAAGTAATCGAGTTGGCCGAGGTACACTTCGATGAGAATTGAGGTCCACATCCAAGTTGGGTGTCACAATGCGTTCACACGAGTGGCCCAATCGGCGACCCAACAGCATGTAACTGATTCACAATACTTTTAACCGGGGATGTGATAACCATGATCTATGGGAGCAAGCACCATCGTTTGATAATTCGGCGCGATAAAAGAGTATTTGCCCAAACTCGATCGGAGCGCGGTTTCTATGGCTTGATGGAGTAACCACGAAAGCTAGATAGCTTAGTGAGATTACAGGCCGAGCTTCCTCGTGAGAACGCATTAGAAAAAAAGCAAGTCTCCACAAGTCCTCTGATAGTGCACTGAGCACATCCTAGTCAGCCAGGGTGTGATCTGGGTTGTGGGGAAATAACAGTTACCTTATGCACCGATTCTTTTCAGCCGGTGTCGGCCATTACGGAGGACACCGAGGGGGCAGTTTTTGACGACGTATTGCATTGTCTTCCACCCGATGCTGAGACACGGGCCCCTGCGCCTGTTAGTCAGAGGAGAACTAAAGCTGCCAGTAAGCTCGCTGTCAGGCTGAAGGTGCAAAAAGTGATAAGACGCTACAATCAGAGTAAAAAAAAACAAGCCCCAACTGCTTCAGCGTCTTCTGAGAGGGAGCATGCGGTGACACCATCATCGGAAAAACAACTAGTGTTGGTGTGGAAATAAAAACCCGTGGAGTAAACACCCCGTCGTGGTGATTTATACATGGATGCTAAGGTTATAGTCTGTAACATGGTCAAATCCACAGCTATTCCGGCTGTTGTTAAAGTAGAAGGTCACAGCAGTACGCAGTACCGAGACTTCGCTGCAGCGCAACTATCGACAGTCATGCGTGAGCTACGGATACCGCGCCAGTCGCCCGGTATCGTGCGTCGGCTCAAACCTGCATCGCCGGATTATAAAGCAGGCTTGTGGTGCTTTAGGCTAAGGGCCAGCGTTCTTCCTGCTGACTACACGTGGGATGACCTCTAGTATCTTAAACTGTGTGACGAAGCTTCTTCCACTGGGTTTTCCCTGTGTTACTGCCAGCAAAGCTGACTAGAATGGGAACCGCCCCACATGGTCGTCATCATCATCATTAAACGTTAGCCGAGAGTGAGACACACCTGAGCTAATGTGCTGCAATACAAAAATATAAGAAATTAAACAACAGACTCAAAAAGCTACAAAAAATAACATAATGTCAAATATCACATAAGCGAAAGGTTTGAGATCCTTTTGCGAGGTACACCAAATCGTCGACATCGCCCAATGCGCGTAGCCCTTTTCATTTCGGAAGAGCGCAAATTGCTTCTGAGGGTTGATTTTAAACTTAGGGGGTAATATTTCGATACTACAGCTGGCGAATAGACTGAAATAAGAGGAAGCCATCATGGCCTCAATAGTAGGAGAGCGGTGTGTGAACAAGGTCTTTGGTTAGTGGGTTTCTAAGGTGGTCAGCCGGCAATTCATTTCCGTCCGTTGGATAGCGCACGATTGTGCTCAGTAACGTGCGTGGCTTAAAGAATAAAATGTATGAGTTAGCTCTGCCTATAGACGTCACACTTTAACATGCTCGACTTCATTGAAAAGTGGGTATTTAAGGATATCACGGACGGTGAAGTACGTATATTCGGCTACGCCCTGTTTAGGTATGGCCGCTCCGTTGGATGACAAAGTGTGGGTGACTTCTGTACCTGAGGTGTAAATATGGTGTCATCAGACTTAATAGTTTTAGTCAATGGATAAAACGGTTGATGCTTTATCGGCTGCTAGTAGCACGTCCGCTGCTCAATTTAGTAGTAGTTACCTATAGAAGCACTGGAATTACTTTCAATGATGTGCTTGATTTTGTCCGTTCCAAAAGGATTAACGTATGTCTGGAATGGTATGACTTCAACACACCGGAGGTTTGTTGGGCTGATCTTTTTGGTGCTCAGTGCCAGGTAATCTTGGTGCAGTTCTTGTACTGTTAAATCGAAGACAGTCACAAACCACATGGTAAAATCTCGAGGTGGTTTTGTTAATCTTCGCCACCTATGATGCGGACGCGACAGCACTGACTTTCTGAAGGGTAGGATTGTGAACATATTAGCCAGAGGTGGGAAACAGGTCAGCTATTGCGCTGTAATACACGAAAAAGAAAAGAAGCTATACAGGCATGCCAAATGAGTTACCAATAACGGATGGACGTGATTCCGGAGACTTAGTCGCCGGCTTATTGTGCCACAAAATAATTAGCATGCCTAGGAAATGAGATCGTCCTTAGATGAGTAAGAGAAGCGAGAGGGACAAGGAAACTCACAACACAAACGCCATTGAGGTCGATTCCTAGCCATATCAACAAGTGTACCCAGCCAAACGTTTCATCGCGCTTCGGGAGCCGAGACGCTCCAACCGAGCCTAATTCTAACTGTTGTCATTTTTCCTTATCTCGTGTATTGCGGAGCACAATAGATGAAGTGTTTCCCATCGCTAAACAATGAGTATAGTGACAATAATGATGCATCAGTTCATGGACGCCCAAGTGCCTTCTATTTTTGATCATGATTTGGCGAAGTCAGTTGATTTCGTAAGTGCCATTACTTAGAAGTCCTATCTGGGAGGTAATCTCATTCCTCTTTGCATGGTTGTCGTTGCCACTAAACCTCCCCTATTTGTTATGCTTTTAGCTCTCATCACTATTTACATATGAATAAAGCCCGATTTCTCAGGTCTTCGTTCCGCACTATCTGGTCTGTCTCTGACTGCTCTGTTGCACTACAATGTATTGTCTGTGAATCAATCACCATGGAAGATTTTCTCAGACCGGAACATTTCGACGCCGATCTCAGTGCTCCAGATGTACAGAAACATTTGATTCACTGGTAACTTTCTGCAGTTTATCCGAACAAACGAAAAATCCATGGTAACCACATAGCCCCAACAGGCTTCGAGTATACTGTTGAGAGCACCAAGTTCAGCGAATCTACACAGGCATGGGAGAACATTTGTGTTAAACTCAAAAATGAGGCTTTCGCGCGTTACATTTTAGCTACGTGAAAAAGAACACAAATCTAACTTGCGCTAATTTGATTCTGTCAGCTCTTTTCGGTGTTTGGTATGCCAGTCCACATTCATTGAGACAAAGGTCCCACTTTCAGGTTGCATGAACTACGTGACTTTCTGCATAACAAGTCAGTAGCAACAAGCTGAACAACCGCATACCATCCAAACTAATGGACAAGTCGAACGCCTTAATGGAACACTGCGGAGAAACACCTTTTCAAGCAATAAGTTGCCGTAATCTCTCAGCGGATTAATGGGAGATCGTCCTGCTCAATGCATTGCATTTGATTCGATCGCATCTGTGCACTGCAACTAATCTAACCCCACACAAGAACTTTCCCAAACACAATCGGAGGTCTCCGTCAACAACCGGTCCGGTCCTGTTGAAGAAGAACGCCCGGTCCTCTAAGTTCAGAACTTATAGAGTGTAGCCCTCAAAACATATACGCTGGATTTTCGAACGGGAGAAAGGAAGCCGTAGTAATCAGACAACTGGCATCCAGGAGCAAACACATGCTCAAGCACCACAATAAGATTAACGTCAGTCACGAAGGGAAATGACAGCAGCAGTACGCTGGTATGCAGTACCGACAATTCGCAGCCACGCAGCCAGCGCCAGCCGCACGTGGGCTAAGGATAACGTGAGGGTCCCCAGGTCCCAACGCATTTTCGAACCCGCGCCCTCCGATTACAAGGCAGGCTTGCGATCCTAAAGGCTACAGGCCAGCACATTGGTCGAGAGGAAGCAACCATGCCCAAGGTGGGGGACCATCACTGGGTACGCGAGGAAACTGACATGCTCCCAGACCATTTTCAGCCAAATATTACGGAACCGTTGTTCCCGAGGAGCGAACTAGAGGTACCTCAGCAATGCGTGCGTCCATATCGTCACAGAAACAGAGAGGCTTAAATACTAGCTCTTTTCTCTTGCGTGAAACTTCACTACGCACAAGGTACAGATCTTATACAACGCTGCTCGCATACACTGCTTTCGCCGCAAGGCGATTTTTGTTTACCACATGA